AAGCCATAAAAATAAAATAGGCTTGTGAAAATAATACATGTACATTATAACTTACATTCTTATATCAGCTTTTCAAAATAAAAATAAAACAAATAAATACTTCAGAAAGTACAATACATGCTTTCAGTTCTAGATAGCAACTCTATGAAGGTAAGCTTCCATAGAAAGAAATAGCAAAGTATATAACACAAGGATTTTGCAAGAATTTCGAGAAGACTTAGCACATTGTAATATTCACAATTCAAAAAACCTTCTTCAATATCACTTTAAGATATAAAAGTAAAAAAGTGTACTGTTTTTTGTGCAGATACAGAGCATTTCGTTTGCCAAAACAATTACACTAACTTGAAGTGAAATAAGTTTATTTTAATAATGATATCTAATAACTGCAGATGAAATCTGTTAAAGCCCAGTAACTGGGTTGAAGCTACATGCAGAACTCTCCTCTAGTCCAGAGTACTTTATTATATTAACAAAGGCCTGGATTATAGGTACATGCTACTTGCCGACACTCAAAGTCTGAAAAAGAACCAGAAAGTTGATGAGGAAGCTGCTGGAAGACTGGCCAAACTACTGAGCCTATCCTCCTCTGAGCAGCCTTTTGTATAACTGTTACAGCAGTATTCCATGCTTTTACAAGCCTTCTTTCCCACCCTCCTGTCACGTTGGTACTGTTATACATGCCGGAACGCATAGCCTCTTCTCTCCTGTCCTCCTGTCACCACTCTCAGCCTCTGCTACAGGTAGAGAAGAGCTGGAGGCATGACAGGAGGGAGGGCGATTCCTTAAGCAGGAAAGAAAGTTTGCCAAAATTATGGGAGGGAGGGAGAGAGAGCAGGGAATCATGACTAGTCCTTAGAATACAAAGATTAATTCACTAACAAAACGATGTTTCTTTGCCAGCTGAAGAAACTCACCCTGATGTCAGACAAATGCAAAATTTGTCTTGACACTGATCATCTTCCATTCACATACTTGCAACAAGAATTGACTGTCACTGTAGGTAGAATTTGCATTTCACTGCCCATCCCACCCCATTTAAAAGAAAAGCATTACCTGGAAGGGCTATGTGAGATAGTGGTTTGTTGATAATTGGAAGATGCAGGACTACCACGCATGGAATTCTGAGAAATATTAAATTGCGACATCATCATCCCTATTAAGAAGATAGCAGCATTACTTTACATGCATTTCCTTTTTAATCGATGAAGTCTCTCATTTCAGAAATTATTATATACAAGGAGATTATAAACTTTACAGTCATTAACATCTTCTACCTACAACTGTAACATTAAAAATAGATCGATTCCATGTAAGATGTCCATTTTACACCATGACACAAAAAGAGTGTTCCCTAAAGCAGTATTAATTCAGTTATAAATATCAACAGTAGTTCCTTCCTCTGTTCCTTAGAAAAAACCTGCTAGCAAATAGAAACATTTTATAACAGGACATATACTCCACACCCCAGGCTGGTGTGTACAGTACTCATTGTGCCAATAAGTAAAAGATTTGGAAACTTCACAACAAGTCAGAAGAAGACAGAAAACTTATCTCCCATTTTTAGAACAAGTACAGCAAACAATTGTCTCGGGCTGAGCGGTGCAAGATATTCTCCCTGCTCCCATAATGTCTTAGTGGTTCCTTTCTACCCAGGGACAAAAGCTTTCTATTCTACCTCCACCACGCTTATAAGGAACGTTATCAAAGAAGGTGCTAAAATATTTTCAATTGCAAAGAACCACCAATATCCCACCTGTAGACTCCCACAGCCTGTAGATTCCCATAGTCATGCTTTGGAAATTCAGGAGTTGTACTAGATGGCAAACAACAAATACCAATGTGCTTGAAACTAACTCACATATTTATTAGGGAGAATTTAAAGGAATCTTTTTTTTTTCCTCTCTTCGATACAGGTATAAAGAATTTCCTAATCACCACATGACACTGGTAGTTGAAGTGGTGCATGTACACTAAAACTTATATGACTTTTAACCAAGTGATTTTAATGACAGAATTGAATGTCTTGCAGCTAAAACAGAGTCAGAATTCACATGCACACTGCAGCTTGGGAAGCCACAGCAAGTGATCCACAGCCATGGGTAAAAGCACATCAGTAATGCAAATATTTTAAACAAAAGGTTAGATAGAAAGCTGACAGTAGTCCCCAATCCAGAGTGTTTGGGAGCCATCAACCCTTGAATTACTATCACCGATTCCAATTACTGCAATATTCTCACAAGCAAAGCTAGTTTCAGAAATCCTCCCTGTAACCCTCTTTTCTCTTCCCCTCTCCCAAGCAGAGATGTGATATTCCCCCAGGAATGCAGCAGTTACTGCCTCCCGGTAGGTATGAAGTGCTGCATTCCAAGTACATTAGCACATGAAAACTAGCCCAGAGCAGGAGCGAAAGTCCCATGTAGTGCTGGGGGAAAAAAAAAAAAAAATCAGAGACCTCCATACTTCAGGACAGAGGACATTTCATTGTCCCGAGTAACAGAAGGAGACTCCTCAACTCCTGCAAAATTTGTTTAAATGGACACTGGTTGCCTCGAACAGAGGCAAGTGAGGAAGAAACTCGCGGGGTTTTGTGTTGTAGGCAGCACCCGGCCGGCCC